TTATCATTTCAGCAAATTTTTAACAATGAAACAATGCTTCTAATATCAGCAGATTTTTGATAGAGGTGTGAATATTTTATGTTTATATTTTTTTCAATTTAATAAAGACAATAATAATCACTTCAATATAATAGTATTCTATATGCTGCAAGTTATAGCTTTCTCCAAATTAGATTTTCACATAGCTTTTCAAAATTAAATTTCCATACGCCACAAATCCAAATTGGATTTTCTCAAAATTAGATTTCTACACACTACAAGTTATATCTTTTTCCAAATTTGATTTTTACATAACTTTTCAAAATTAGATTTCTACTGCAGGTCATAGCTTTCTCCAAATTAGATCTTTATATACTGCAATAGATAGATTAGTGGAACAACTAAAATTTAGCAGATCAACCAAAAATTCGAGTTAGAATTCATTGAAGCTAAGTTAGTATTAGCAATAATATTAGTCAACCATACTATAGTATAATTATTATCTGAGCAGCTTTACTTAGTGAATAGGCTATAAATTTATTAGCAAAATTTTTAGTAAAATTTAGCAATACTGATCCATTCTGATTCAGATCTGCTGAATTTTGGTTGCTCCACTATCTATCCCACTGCAATTATAGCTTTCTCCAAATTGGATTTATTTTATGATTCTCTTTTATTGTGAATCTGGTAGTAGATATTCGACTGAGCCAAGATCTAAAAGGTATGCAAACTAATCTGTAATTAATTCTATGCTCTATTTCTGCATTATTATCTTATATTAAGTTAGATTCTTTTATATCTAGGTTATTGTTCTAAATTAAGCTATTATTTATTATTTGGCTAGAGCAAATTGTCAAAGAATCAAATAGAATGGTAATTAGATGATTGCCTAATAAGTCAAAATGTATTCAAAGCCAACTAGTTCGCAGAATTATGCAGATCACAATACATAATTTCAAATGATTATCCTTAAACAAGTTGAACATGTATATAAGCCAACTAGTTTAATATGAAAAGCAGAGTTAAATGCCAAAATTATAAGAAGAATAATTCATAAGATTTGCCTAAATTAGTCTAATATGTATTCCAAGCTGACTAGCTTGACGTGAAAAACATAATTACGCAGCTATAATGTATTATTGTTGAGAAAGCATGATAGTTAATTTAGAAAAAAATCAGGTCTGCGGTGAAAATATAATATTTAGATATTTGAAAAAATGTATTTAAACTATGACTTTTAATTTGAATAAAATTTCAGTTTCATTTTGAAATTAAATCATAATTATTCAGAGTCATATCCTCACTTTGTTAATTTTAAACTTCAAATATTCTGTACAATTGCGTATTTATTAATTAAATTGTATCTAATTTCAGTTACATCATAAATACATCATAATTTTTAACCAATTGCAACCCTTACATTACTTTCATTATATTTAATCATCTTCTTATACTAACATTCAATAAAAGTAAAGATGAACTCTCAAGAATCTAGTTCAAGCTTTCAAAAAAATACTTATACTGATAAAAGTGATAGTGATAATAATGATTATAACATAGCCCCCTTAACAAACATATTGACTAGTAACAAAAACAAAAGAAAAAGCAAATCAAGTTTCATGTAGAAGCATTTTGAAGTAATTGGAACAAAAGATGTTTGCCAAGTTATTATTAAAAAAAATGAAAAAAACCAAAAATGCGAAAAGGAATATGTTCATGATAATTTGACATCAAATATGATCACTCACTTACGATTATATAACATAGTGAATAGTAAAAAACTAAAATCTGATATACAGCAAAAGCGACAAACTACATTACTAGAAATGGTTAAAACTAACACTCCACATAAAGATGATAGAAGAAAAGAAATAATTAGAGGAGTTGTTGAATAGATTCTTCTCAATAATGAACTCTTAGTGGCACTAATGAAAAAGGGATTTCATCACATGATAGCAATAATTGATCTAAAATTTCACCCACCTTCTAATAATGTAATAAAAAATGAAATAACATTAAATTATTTAAAAAATATTAAAATTCTTAAATACAAAATTGCATCATCTTGTGAGACTGCTACTTTAACAGCAGATTTATGGACTTTCTGTAATAATCAAGGCTATATTGGAGTTACTTGTCACTGGATAACTCCTAATTGGTCACTACATAGTGTGTTACTATGTTGTGAAAAAATATCTTACTCACATACTGCGGAATCCATTTCCCAATTTCTTTTAAACAAATGCATTGAATTTGATCTTGAAAATAAAATTATATATGCTGTTACAGATAATGGCGCCAATATGATAAAGGCTATTTGATTGTTGAATAATATTATTCAGCTCCTATGTGCTGCACACATATTACAATTAACTATAAATTTTGCCTTGCAAAAAATTAAACTACAAACAAAAAAAATAAAAAAGTTAGTTCAATTTTTTGACTCACCAAAGCAACAAGAAAAATTAAATAAAGCCCAAATAAAAGTTATGGAAAGAGATGGATTATCTTTATCTAGATTAATTAGCACTGAAGTTTTTCTAGAAGAGGAGGAGGAAGAAGAAGAAGCTAGTGAAGTCTAAAATGGAGATAGTACTGACTCAGAAGAACAATTAAATGTAAGTACTAACTCCAAGTCTCTTTGTCTAATTAAAGATTGCTCGATATGATAGAATTCGAAATATTAGTCTTAGGAAAGACTATTAAAATTAAAAGATGTAATTATATAGTTAGAAGCTAATCTGAATATTTCACAGAACTCAGAGGACAAAAAAGATGAGCAAAAACTCAGACGCTACTTACCAGATGAAGATGAATGGAAATTAGTTGAAGAATTAGTCAAAATTTTTGAATCATTTGACTAAGCAACAGAAACATTTAGTACTAAAAAGTATCCTACTTTATTAGTTGTATATCCTATAATTAAACTCTTGAAGTTCAAATTCGTGACAGATCCAAATTTGCCTCTAATTGAAGATAACCTTAATGAAGAATATGGTAATTTATTTTTTCATATTTTAAAGTCACTAAATTTCTTTAATGCTAATTCATAAAATATTAATACTAATACTTATCTTACAGAATCAAATATAAATAGTGATAGTGAAGATGAGGAAAAAGATTATCCTTAAAATACTTCTGATATTCAGTCAACAATTGCTCTAGTTAAACAAGCGATTTACAATTTGCTTTGGAAATATTAGATCGATTCAAAATTTACTGGCCTACTAGCAACTTTACTAGATCTAAGACTTAAGAAAATATGCCTTTGGCCTGAAAATCTATAGGAAGAAACTGTTAGAGTGTACTGTAAAGAACTGAATATTATTAGTGAAACACCTATACAAACAATATCTTCTAATATAGTTTCAACTAATAATTACTTTGATTCAATTTTTGATGATAACGATACTAACAATGATAATTCATCTAGTGATGAACTAGATAAATATTTAGATGTTAGTAAAGTGCTAATTGCCTCAAAAGTAACAAAACCCTTAATTTGGTAGAAAGAACAGGAAAAAGATTTTTTGAATTTGAGCAAATTGGCAAAAAAATATTTATCTATACCAGCCACTTCAGTCCTAAGCGAACGTCTATTCTCTGATGCAGGGAATCAAGTCACTTCAAAATGAACTCGCCTTGATCTAGAAACTGTTTTACAAATATTATTTTTAAAAAGAAATAGTGATATAATTAATATTACATAGAATTTTAAACTTTACAAAACAATTCAACAAATATTTTGTAATATTACTCATTTCATATAGAGATTAAGTGGTCCGAAAGGAACTAGTTTGGCATTAGTCCTAAACTAGGACCACTAAGAACCAGTCTGAACTAGTTAAAAATCACTTGATATAAATAGGTATCATTTTTGATACATTAAATAAAATTTAATTAAAAATAAAATCAAGAAAAATATTTTTATTAGTAGTAATTTTATAGATATTTCATCACTAATTGGGTGATTAATAGAACTCCGATTAGTGAATTTTAAATAAAATTGGTAACTAATTAGTTAATTTATATTGGTCTAAACATAATAATTTATCAATTATCAGTAATGTATATTGCTGTATTAAACTAGTTCCTAACTAGTTCAGGACCAGGACGAACTGGAACCAGACTGGACCATATCATTTAACATCCCTATCATTTGATTATTAGGTTAACATCAATATTTTAAACTCAGGCATGGGAGGAATTTAAACATGAATATTTGATCAAATCTCATAGGTCAACTTTAATAATATGATTAAGTTTATGCTGTGTTATGATTCTATGTAACTTCTTCATATATTTCAAAGAACAAACATTTCGCTAAAAAAAAAATAAAAAAAATAAAAATGAAACATTTTTTGGTTTTGTAGCATCTGGAAAATGTGTATCAGGTTGGTACACCATAATAGCTTAATAGGATTAGATTTTTCAGAGATCCATGTCAGAATGATTTTAAACATTATTTTTAATTATCTTATCTTTTATCATAAAAAATGTAGCGAATACAGAGATATACAGTAATTTATTATATATTTGATCATGTAAAACTTAAAATTTTGTTTCGTTTAATTATATGTACATAAATAATCTAGTTTCAAAATTTAATAATTGTTTATTTTATTTTCACAAATTTGAATCATAATGTTAAAAGTTTGTGCTTTTTTCTATGATATTTTAAATAAAATTCTCCTTAATGAATTCAAACAAGAATTAAATTTGAAAGAAATCTAAACAGTATTAAATTATATGTATAATTTTTTTTTATCAAATTAAACAAATTTTTTATATAGTTATAAATTTATTTAAGCATTAGAAGCTATTTATAAATTCGAAGTTTTTTTGTTTTTTAATTGATTATGCTAAAATAAACAATAGACCTCTCTAGCTACTGTAGCATGCAAACCTAGTACATATTTTCTAAATGCGGTTTGTAAAAATGTTAATTTTCACTATACAAAAAAACTCAAAAATGAAAAGTGCAATACTTAAAAAAAAATTATTTTAGTATTTTCTGCTATATATATGTTATAAACGTCGAAATAAGTCAAGATCAGGAGATCTAGAGAGCCAAGATTGGGAGTTTCAGAGAGCTAATATTAGGAGATTCAAAAAGCCAAGATCAGGAGATTCAAATAGCCATGATCAGAAGATTTAGAAAGCTAAATTTAAAAGCTGATGATCTTTATGCCTAATGTAAATAATAAGTAATTAACGTTATAAAAATTGAATCTTTGAACATATAGACACGAATGTATTAAGGATTAAGTAGTAAATATGTACTAATGTTAATTGCGCAAAGATCGTAATGAGTAAAATATATATTACATACTAACAAAGGTTCATATTTTCTTAACATGAATAACCAGGTCAACTGGGTCAACTAGATTATTTGAAGTGACACAGTTTGTGACTCGGTATTGATCTTTTAAATAGACAATTGACTCAGAGCTTAAATTTTATACTGGGTTCAATCTCTAGTCTGTACCTATTTTACAGATTTACTTAGCTTAGACTCTTGTAGATGTTCATACAACTTCAGTTTCTACTATAGCTCTCTACCAGTTTTCTGTATTCTATAATCTCGAATATTTCACAAGGCAGATCTTTCTAATCTAGTTAGCTACCAAGCCAAATTG